GCTATTAAAATGAGGTAGTTCACATTTTTTCATGTTCCTAAGCACCTACAGGCTCAGAAACAGATGGAAAAGTGACAGAACCCTTAGAGCAGTTGAGCTATCCTCTACCAAAAGAAGATCTTGCCACAAAGAGGGTGTTAATCTGCCCACTACCTTCTTGTTGAACCTAGAACCAAAAAGAACCTGTATCAGCTGCTTTACAAAGTTGGCTTGACCTCTGTGGTCCCCAAGTAGGACCTCAGTCAAGACTTGAATTCTGCTGAAGCTAGAAAATCCAATCATTTAGCTGACCTCTGTACCAAATCTATGGGCTGTTTTTAGATTGGTGAAAGCTAGCAAGTTTCACTACCCTATACCAATGATGATTAATCCATTACCACCCCATATGCACCAGACAGCCCAAATATACCCAAACAATTTAGTTTGATGCCCAGCTGCAAGATGTGCCCAGCCAAACAGTATTAACCACATAACAGGAAACACCAGGCAGAGGTCCAAGAAGTTGCAAAGGCTTGTGCTTTTTTGATAATTCAGCAAGATACAAGAAGGGTGGGAAAGAGGGTCTTGTTGGATGAGCTAATGACTTTGCCAAAATGTATAGAAGTGATCACCAATTGTACTGCTGCATATCAGATTTCGGTTGTACCCTGGCATCCAATATATGCATATTGTCCTAAATAAATTTGCTGCTATCTCATCTCTCTGCTGCTGTGTGGTTCCTCCTCAGTCCTGCAGACCCAAGTTGCATGTTCCCGGCTGGGCAGACTGACTGCAGCCCTTCTTGGCACAGGCTTTGTGCAACATTGTGAATGCAGATCACTCTTTCCTTTGGTTTAGCTTGACAGCTTGCTCCTTGACAGCTGTTGAACAAAACTGAGGAAAGAAAAAGGAAATTTGGAGTCCCTGTGCATCAGTGTTTACTGGCGATGCATGCAGTACTTTGCCAGCAGGTACCTCACTGGACTTTACCCAGCTGAGGATGCCTATTTTTTTCACTTCTGTAAGTGCACAAGTGTATACTTGCAAATACTGAGAAAGCAATAATCGATGCAAACAATGGTGTACATTGCGGGGCGGGGGGGGGGGGGGACAAAAAGAATAAGTTGCAAAAAATAGCTTGTAACCATGGACAGCTCCTCCAAAGTATCACTTGGTCACTCTGAAGGGGCTGTCAGTGGTTGTCACAAAGGATACCATGAAAGCTGCTGTCAATCCAGTGATCTTCATAATTGAAAGGTTAAGGGAGCAAAAAACCAGCAAATCACAGCTTAAGATGCCAAGTCAGTGTCAGTCACCCCAAAGTACCACTCAGGCACTTGCAGATCAACTGGGATGGGACATGGCACGAGGCTTTTGCTGCTCTTGCTAAGTGAATCACTGACCAGTTTCTGGTAGCCATGATGGGGTCAGGCAGTCTCGTTTTGACAATGCAATAACCTTTCATGGCTATTACAACCCCTAGAACAAACTATTGTTGTCAGTTTGTGGGTTACAGTGTTCTGCAAACCCAGTCTCTGTGTGGCTACTGCAAAAAAGGTATGTTCCATGTTCCATGGAAATGCCATGTTCAGGATTATTAGGAAAAGAAAAGAAAACTGCAAATTGTATGCAAATTTTACACAAATCTATGGTGTCATCACCTTTGAAATGTGGTGTGCAGTTCTGGTTACAACTGTATCTCATAAGAAATACTGTACCCCTAGAATAGGTGTAAAACTGGTGTAATGAGGAATAGGAATAGATGTAAAAAAGACAGCAAAAGTTTTTAAGGAGCTGGAGCGATTTCCCTATGAAGAAAGTTTACAGCATTGGGGTTTTTTATTTAAGAAGAAAGGTTAAATAGGCCTGGTAGAAGCGGTATGATAGAACTGTATTAAATTCAGTTAAGCTCCTTTTCTCATAATATTAGAATCCAAGATTAACCAATGAAACTAAAGTTAGGGACAGATAAAAGAAAATGCATTTTCAAAAACCACAGATCAAAACTGTAGAATTCAGTATGACAAGATATGATGGACACCAGTTTGGATTGTTTTAAAAGAGGATTAGACCAATGTGTAAAGAGAAGGCTATCAGTGGCTTCCACTCCAGATGGATCTACAGTACTGGACAAAATATGCCTCTGAATCCCAACTGGTTAAGCCCACAAGGGGGAAGCTGCTGTTGCATTCTCGGCCTACTTGTGATTGGCTGGCATGGGCATGGAGAGCTCTTCACAAACCTTTTTTTCCTTTTACCATAGCAAACCCACCTTAGCAAGCAATTTTTCTCAGAACTTGGCTACCTGCTGAGCAGGTAGTGTAAGCACATACGTACGTGTTGTTGCCAAGACTATTGTCACAGGTGCTGCCTAAGACATTTGTATTCAAAATCCCTGCCCCTTTTTTGAGAATGGAGTATTAATTTATTTAAAACTTTTGTATCCTGTCCTATCCATAAAAGTCTCAGGATGGTCCAACAACAAAGGCAGAGCATCAAATCTATAATAAAACCCGATTAAAATAAGAATTAGTTCTTAAAATCATGGGAATATAAAAAGGTTTTAATCTGGAGCCAAAAAGAATAAATCATTGGTAACAGGCACACCTCTCTGGGGAGCATGTTCCACAACTGGGGTGCCACCATGGAGAAGGCCCTTCTCCAGGTAGCCACTGTCCTAATCTTCAAAGAGGGGTCCCAAAGAAGGACCTCTGACCCAGTTCTTAGGGGGCAGGCAGGCACATAGGGACTAATTATTGGTTTCCTATCAGACTTTTTTTTAGTATTCCATGGCTACCAGTGTTGCTCTAAAGTCAGTACCTGGGCTCTGTTTGCACAATTTAACAGCCTACCATGACTTTTTTAAGGCACTGAGGGCTTATGATATGATGAGCAGTCAATAAGCCATAATGGGACATTTTGATTTTGTGAACCAGGTGACAAGACTCCTTGAGAAAAGCAAATAGTGACTGATACCAGCCCCTTGCCTGTTCCTCTGCTCAATTTATTTGGCAAGTTTCTGCCTAAAGAAAAGACTCTATTTGGCATGAAGAGAACTGACAAATAGTGCTCCAGGGACAGCATCATCACCACTGTCAGAAGAAAAAATATGGTGGTAGTCTATTCCTTCACCAGCATCTTCCAGTGCTCCACTACAGCAGCGAAGTTTATAACAGATAATGCTATCCATCAATTTACCTGGAACAGTTGTAAATTAATAGGCCTATAATTTCTTGGATTCTTTCTGGATCCCTTTAAAAATGTTTCTAGTCTTCTAGTACTGGAAGATAAAGGCAGGAAATGATTGGTTGTAGAAAGATATTGAATCTTTTTTCTGTATCATCATAAGGCAACACTTAACTCAGTAAGGAGGAAGCAGTAAGTCCTATATTCATGAGTAAGTAAGAGCAGGATTGGCATTTGTAACAGACTGTATTAAATATGCAGAATTTATAGGTAGAACAGAGGTGGTTCCAATATGTGCTGGTTTAAATTTCATTTGAGCATGACAAAATTGTTTTCCACAGTCAGCTTAAGAAAAGCTTGGCAAGAAATTGGTAGTCAGATTTAAAGCCATGGAGTTTACAGGCACAGCAGAACAAGCAATAGTAAAACTTACAGAGGAAGAACCGCACTCTACAGCTCTTAACATAAGCTTTGCAAGAGGTTGGTTGTCAGATTTAATAGTTTAGAATTTAAAGCAAACATATAATTAAAGTTTGCTGTCATCACCCTGTGTAGGTGCAGAGAGACTACACTATAAGTGGGGAGAGTCTAGAACAAGTGTAGGCCACCTGGTGCCTTCCAAATGTTGTGCTTTGCAATTCCAGCTAGCCCCAGCCAGTATGGTCAACTGTAGCTGATTCTAGGAGCTGCAGTCCAAACCATCTGGACAGTACCAGATGTTTCTATTGTTTCTATTGCAGTGTTTTTCCTGCTTACATGGTGTAACTCAGTTTGTATGTTTTTGGGGGCACCAGTGAACTGGTAAATGCTGTAACTTCTTAAATGAAAGTCGTTGGGATTTTTAATCCTAAAACATAACATTTTAAATTGGATGTAACGTTTATATCCTGCCCACCCAAGACCTTAGGCTGGCCTCAACTTGAGAACAAGTGCCCACCCATGCTGTAGCAAAAGCTGAAATCTGGATTCAACCCAGAGCGCTTTCAGGGGACACTTTTATCGCAACACCTCGCTTCCTCATTCATGGAACTGGGGACCAGGCAGAATAGCTTCCATCTTTTTCTGGCCATGAAAAATCCATTAGAGGTGGAATGATGACGTAGTTGCACAGTCTTCAGATAGTGAACAGTGGGAGCCTGCCCTGCCCTTTGGAAGAAGCACTTGGAATGTGTTTTAAAGATGCCGTATTTTTTGGATACTGGATGCTGGATATCACCTCAAAGTTAAACAGCGTGCAGCGGTGCTCATCCTTGGTTAAGCCTGGCTCTACCCAAATTGCTTTCCAATTAGCAAGAGTCCCTGCGCTTTGGAAGCGAGGGTTGGAGGGGCCGAGCTTCGCCCATCCCCGGCGAGGTTGGCCTGCGTGAGGCAGAAGCCTACACCTCGCCGTCTCTGCGCCCAGCCACGTCTGCCTCCCGCACGCGGCCTCCCCAGGAGCGCTGGCGCGCCAGGGGCAGCCCCTCGGGAAGGGCGGCGCGCGGGGGGCGCAGGGGTCTCGCGGGCAGTGGGGGGCTCTGGGGAGGCTGCGGCTGCCCCAGCGCGGGGCCACCCTCCGAAGCGTCTCCTCCTCACCCAACCTTCGCTGGAGGGTTTATTATTGCAGACTTCTCCCTGCATCAGTTTACAGCCCAACTCGCGAAAGAGGCGGGGGAAAGTGGCGCGCGGGCGGGGGGAATGGGGGGAGAGGCGAGCTGCCGGGGAGCGCCGTGGAGCCAGCGCTGTTCCTCCTTGCCCAAACTGCGGAGAGGAGGGGCAGGGGCTGCTGGTCGTGTGAGTTCAGGCCGGTCAGGAGAGTTGCAAACTCCAACTTCTCCGAGGCAGCTGAGGGAGAGGGAGAGGGATTGAGAGAGATAGAGAGGACCTAGTCCATCCATCTCCCGATCAGAAAGAGGCTTCAGGGCGCCCGGCATGAACGTCCAATAAAGGAGTTCTGTGCAGCAGGGACAAACTTCTCCACCGCGCCTGAAAGTTTCCTATGTGGCTGCCTTGTGTGCCAACATGAAAGGTAAGCAGAAGACAAGACATGTGGCTGTTTCAGAAAGTATTTTGGAAGAGGTCGGAGCTGCTGCGAAGGAGCTGAGTGTTGTCAGCAGCGAACATGTGGTACCTGGTGCGGGAGCAAATATGTGTGCAAAACTGAAGCAGCCGCTTGGTCTCTTCTGGCCCAGTCATGATGAAAGCTGCCATTTGTTCTTCAGAAAAGTCCGACTTCGTTCTCTCGTGGGTTGTTTACGGGTCTCCTCCTTGGATTTTCGGACTGGAAAAATCTGCCCAGCAGAGCGGAATGCTCACCCACACACCAATTTCTGCTTCCCCCAGCACATATTTCTTGACCACTATCTTTTTTTCTGCTCCTTTCCCCGTTTTTCTCCTCCCGAAGTTTTTCAAAGAGAGCAGTGGGGGGTTGCCAGCGTTTCGTGATGTTCTTACTGTTGCTTCTAGACATCTGGCAATGATTAGGTTCCAGTAGAGGCTTAACTGGCTTGTGAAATATATTTGGCATGTTCTCCTCCCTCAAGATCCATAGATTGGAAAATGTTTAGTCTTAGCATTGCGTGTGCTAAAAGCTGAAGTTTAACGCTTCCCCCGTGCTTTTGAGTCACATCTTGGCAGGAATGCATTCATTAGCCCTCTTAGGTCCCATACCTGTGACCACTGAGTGCCACGGAAATCATTTTAAGCAAATGAGTCTCCACATTGGTGTGCCTATGGATGAATAAAAGAGATGTTAGTGTTTGCAATAACCCTCTTGCTAATGAAATGTAAGAGCCTTGGAGTAGGTTCAGAGCACTGTACACCAGGGAATAAGGCATCAAAGAATGTTTTGGAATGTTCAGGAAGTACTTCGGAGCTTGCAAGCATCGAGTTTCTTTAGCCACAGAGATAAATCCAAGTAGGTAACAGAGAGAAAAATATATACGAAGGGATGTATGACTGAGAACCAGCCTGTTGCTTGCAATGTGCGTTTTAGCTCCAGATGCCAAGAGAGCAGTAAACATGGTGATAGTTGTTTCCAGAGACCAATAAGAGCAGTGTGTGATCATTGACTTAACTTGCCAGAAAGGCAGCCTATGGAGAAAAGTATGTTGTTTCATTCAACCCATGCACATATGAAAATGGTTTTTGAATGTTGTCTGGTATTTGTGGGGGGGGGGGGATGTGAATACTGGAGATTACAAGCAATTAAGTCGATTTTATTCACAAGTGCTCAAATTTCTGATATTGCATGCTATTCTGATGTAATGGTAATAACTGGAAAAAGTTGCTTAATACATAACTTGTGATGTTATTACTATAGAATGAGAGGATTAACCTCATTGTGAAAGTTTCTGTTTTGGAAATGCAAGAGAAAGGAATGTTATTCGAACACTCTTTAAGTGTGCTGATACTAACAAGAATGTTTCATTCATTCATGAATTTGTGTATGTTAAATGACATGAGATTTTCATGTGGTGTGTCTACTACTCATGAACTTCCCTACCTAATGAATGGTAATATTTGCATGTGAGAGCTTGCATGCCATATGTTGACACGTTCCACATAGCTGCAGCCATCATAAGAAGAGTACTGTTTTAATTTTCCATTGGTTAAGACTGATAAAGTGACATCTATTGCCTGAGTTTATGCCTGTTTACACAAAAGTTAAGTCCCACTGAGCTTGCTTTCAGGAGTGCTAGTGAGATTTTTCATCTTGATACAATTTATCAATTTTTATTTATTTGAAATAGTGTAGCTTTTGATCTCCAGGAGTTGGATTTCTGCTAAACTACTAAGGTTGAATCTATTAATTTAGGATAGTTACATGTTCTTAATATTTTACTCTCTTTCTTTCTGTAAGACATTTCACAACCATTTTGTAGAAATACACAACAAGGCTGATAATATGTGATAATTAAGTGCATAAACATCTTTCAATGAAAACTTCAAATGAACTTGGTCATGAAAGAGTTCTGCAAATCATAAATAGTACCAAAGTCAATGTCTTGTCTTTTAGTGTTCTATCTTAAACACACATATTTGGCTTTCTGTGTTTTTTGTTCAAATCCCCAGTTTATAATCCTGATGCCCAAACAATGAGCTTTTCAAGTTTAATAAAGTCACATGTTCTTTTCATGAGTAACAACCAAGTTGACCTGCTGGATACAGTCAACAGCTGTCTCTCTTCATGCATCCATCCTCCCCTGAGAGATGAAGACTATCAAAATAATTACATCACTAGAATCTGGAAAAAAAATCGTTGCTTTAATGTTAATGCGTTGTGTTAAATCACTGCAATTGAATAACTGGGATGACCTAACAAGCCATATTACATGATGGTCAATCTGTGAAAAAAAATTGAAGGGGGCAACATTACAGGATATTAGTTCTAAAAGGTACATTGTTTTATATTCTGTAGCAATTCGTCATCTGAAAACAGAAACAAATCATCGCAATATCATATTCCTATGACCAAGAACATCAAGTCACTAGTTTACATATGCATTCCACAGCATGTTTCCAACATAAGAACAAAATTTCTTTGCCAAATCCCAGCTCTCTCTCCAGCTATTTTCAAAAAAGGTTGGGACTTTTTTAAAAAAAAGGAAAGGAAGAAAAGGAGTAGAAGACTTTTTCTTATGAATGAAAAGCCTATCAATTTCATTCTCCTTGAAATGTTCCTTGAAGTTCTGTCCTGTACTGAGGCAGTCAAATAGCCACCCCCCCCCCCAGGTAAATAAAATCTCAGAATACAGCAAATTTGCAAACTATCAGCCATAAAGTAATAACCAGCTAATTCAAGTTACTTGCTAAAGCCTGGTTAATCTTGCTAAGTGTTCTTAGCAGAAAATGACATGATGGACTATTTGTAAACCCTGTTGTTGAAATCCCTGGTGTATTTGCAAAATACTTACCCACAGACTGCAATTTATTTTATGCCACTGCTGCTTTTTGTCTTGCTACCATAGATCAATATCCGTATACACATCCTTTATAAGCCAATGGGCATGTATATCATGAGACCTGGTGTGGTATAGTGGTTAAGAGTGTGGGACTGAAACTCAAGTGACCTGGGTTCTAGTCCCCGGTCAGCCATTGAGCCAACTGGGTGACTTTGGGCCAGTCACAGACTCTCAGCCCAACCTACCTCACAGGGTTGTTGTGGGGATAAGACTGAGAGTAGTAGTAGGAGAATGATGCAAGCTGGTTTGAGTTTGTTGTAAGAAAAAAGGTGGGATATAAATCTGTTACATAAATAAAATAAATAGTAGCTTTACTTCTGACTTTCAAATAGAAAGTTAATTATCACATTCTGTATTACATCTCCGTCCCAAGATGCCAAGGCATGAGGGGACAGCATCTAAGTTTTAAATGAATTAATTAATTAAATACAAAGCAGCGGACATGGGCTGTTCAGAGCAATCACCCCGACGGTGATGCCCATGAACAGCCTGCATGCTCTTCATGTGAAAGGCAACCTTCACATGGCAAGTTTGCTCACCCCCAGCATGGCACAATCGCAGGACTTAATTCATCCAAAGCAGCACTCCAGTTCAGTGCAGCAGTAGCTACTTGCGGTAGCTACTGCTGGAAGTACTCCCTTTCTCCCCTGCTGATGCATGCCCCTCTAATGCCCAGCCACCCTGCCACTCCTTCTCTCTCCAATGCACCATAGCCCCTCTAAGACCTCTCTGATGCCCTGCTGCTGGGGTGCCCCACCATTTCACTGCCCCACCACTGCAATGCTGCACCACAGTGGTAAGATTTCACTGGGAATCAGCAGGGAATCAACGCATTAGAGCGGAGCAGAGAGATAGCAGAACAGCAGAGCATTGTGGCAGCAAAGATGGGAGGGGTAGGAAGCTGTCATGGTAGTGGAGCAGCAAGGAGGCAGTACACCAGAGAGGCACGTGACAGCAGGGAAGACAGGGAGCATGGAGACAGCCAATCTGAGTGCTGCTGCTGGCCAGGCAGAACAGGCCTGCAGAAAATAGAGGCTGGAGCATCTGCTGCTGCTGTGGTTGCTCTTGGTGCCAAATTCAATTGCAGAAATGTGGAAACCATGGAAAAACATTGTAAGTGGATTCACATGGAACAACAAGCAATGGTGACACATGAAAAGTTTACAACAAACCATTGATTCTCTTGGAGGATTCATGGAAAGTCTGCATTTCCCAGACTTGATCATGGATGCTGAATTTACACATAATGACAAGCTTTCCTTCTGCGGTTTCCAGCATGGCTTGTGGTTATGTGTGAACACAGCCATGGTCAAAGCCAATAGCAGTCAGAGGTGATTACAGGTATATTCTTAAGGGCCACATTTGCTCTTAATGTTTCTCACATTTTGAATACTTTTTACTAAAAGTATTTTGGATTATTATTTATGTTTAATGTCCATTGCAGCTTCCTTTTAGGTTTGCCAAGAATGATATTAATAAAAGTTAACAGTAAAGTTATAACAGTCCCATTGAAATCATACTGAGGTCCAAAGAACTCATGGATCTGACTGGCTGCCAGAAAAGGAAAAGGCTGAAACCTATGTGGGTAAGAAAAATTCGGCCTCAGCCTCCAATTTTCTCACTTGAGATCACTGAGTCATACGTACATGGCCACATGTACTATTTAAGAATAGAACACCAAAACAGAAATGATGACATTTTTCTCTATAGATTTTTATGGTATTGCTTGCAAATGTGTTTTAAGTGGAAGCAAATTAGCTAACCTTCCTCAAGACATCCTGTGTAAAATACCTCTGCAATGAAATACTAAACAATAATTTTAATTAGGGAGTTACCCTGTTTTTCACACCAAATCTTTCAGCAGCTTCTTACACCATCAACCATGGCACCTTTCTGGACTGACTCAGCAGGCTGGGAGTCAGGGAAACTGTACTGCATTGGTTCTGCTCCTACCATCAGGGTCATTTCCACAGGGTAGAAAGAGAGTGTTTTTCAGATTCCAATTGTGTCATGAGGTGCTGCATATTGTTCCCAAGGTTTTGTTGTTAGTGTGTAAAGCACTTAATAACTTAGGACCTGGTTACCTGGAAACTACCTTCTCCTCTATAGACACTTTCGATCCTTGAAGTCATCTGGGAAGATACTTCTGGTACTGTGACATACTGCTGAGGGCTTCTCCTCAATCATTTGAAACAGGGTATTTAGCATAGCAGGGCCCATTGCATGCAATAATCGTCCCCAAAAGGTTAGTCCTGTCCCAACAGCTTTATTCATGGGTGAATGTTGAAGACTCATTTTCCCTGTATAGTATAGAAATTTCATACAGATATGGCATATGCTGAGTTTTTGTTTTTTTACGTTTTATGATCTCTGTATACCACTTTGATATCTTTACATGTACATACTGTATAAATTGTTATAAAGATATAGGTTATGCCTCTTCTTAGAAGCAATTTGCTAAGTAATTTACCCTTAGGTAATTGTGATTACTCTTTGCTTACTCATTATAAAATTTGAAGAAGGACCAAAATTGCAGTTAGATACTTTGGAAGAGTGAAGATACCTGGATTAAAGAACTTGAGAGCTCTACAGTGAGTGAAACTTTGGAATCTTAAATCTTGCCCTCGGTGTCCTTGTTTTTTAACATTATGGTACCATGTCTCTAGCTTGCCTGGAAGCCATTTCCTCTGCTATGAAAGCCCTTGTCATCTCAAGGCATGCTTGTAACTGTTCCGTGATAAGAGGAAAGTATGAAGTACACACTTTCTTATCCTCATCTTCCTCATCGTCCTTGTCTTCCTCCTCTGAATTCTGCATGTGACCAGTTCCCCAGATACTTGCAGGTACACTATGGTAGCATTATGAACAGTCATCATATGATAAGTAGTTAATCTCATCAACCAACTGAACACAGCCTTTCTTATGAATTTCAAGGATATTAACATAGGGAGCAAAAGGTGCATGGTGGGCACACATGGCAGGCATTCTAAAGGGAACTTTAAACTGGTTGTCCAAATGGATGCATATTTTTGTTTGGTTTATTACACGTGCACATCCTTTATCTTCACAGTGACCTTACCAGGTAAGATAGCTGAAAAAGAGAGCAAGAGGGCCATGGTTACCCAGTGAGCCCCATGACTGAATGGGGATTTGATTCCAAGTCTTCTGAATCCATCATACTAAACCATTTCACTATACTAGATTTTTGCTGTGTGTTTTTTGAGTATCAACAATTCCTTGGAATTGCTTTTGTGACTTTACCCATCTAAGGATCAATAATTGAAGGGTACAGTCCTAAATTATATCACAAAGATTCTGTTGCTTCCCTCATGAAGGAAGTTGTGCCTAGGTAGGAAGCTGAGGAACAGGCCTTGGCTAGCTGTACTAATTTGACATGAACTGATGAAACAAACTGTCAGAAAATGTAGTGATAGATTCTAATACAGAGACCTATATACTTCTTTATCTCTAAAGGATAGATTTGCGAAGAGCAGACCTGTCAGATGTTTTCCAGATTAGGTGGATGTTTTGCCGGGGAGTATGAAGAGTAAAAAAAATCTTCCTTCAGTCCTGGGTATTCCTCCTTTTTTGACACTTATGAGTATTTACCTTGTAGTAGTAGTAGATGGAGAATGTCGTTGGGAGCCTCAGTGCAAGGTCTTTCCCACACCACCAAGCTCTAGTCTCTAAAATATTGCAATGGAAATATCTAAGGCACCAGGGACACTAGGAACTATAGTCTTATGGATTAGGTGCAATGGGGAAATTATATTTCCCAGGCTACCTAGATGACATTGCCTGATCCTTAGATTGTTATTTTTAGTGGATTTGGTATTGAGACTATCATAAAACATTTTTACTCACTATAAATTTCGATAGAATCTTTGAGTGGAATCTTCTTTGTAAATTAATTCTGAGCTTAGAAAAGAATTTTGGGAACAGTTTAAGGGTTATGAGTTATCTAGATCAAATTTGAGATATAACAGTGAAGTATATTGGAATGTGAAAGTAAAAGCACATGCTGACATACAGTTATTTCTGTGTTCTCCTGGTTGCCTCAAAAGCACCATAACTATCCATCACAATCAAAATATTCCATTTGCAGTCTTATGCTTACTTACCTGGGAGTATGCCCCATTAATCTTAGTGGGTCTTACTTCTGATTAGACATTCATAGGATTGTGCTCTTAGTACAATTCATTATAAAGGTTTAGACCAAGCAGTCAAAATATACATAATACGTAAGTTTATGGATACAAACTAATGCAGCATTCCAGGGCAGTGTAAATAAATTTCTGGCAATGCTTTTGGGTGAACCATGAGTAAATAATTAGATTACATAAATCAGCTAGCGGGGGTGCAGGTGTGAATTCTCAAAAGCAAATTATTGAACTTTTGTAATAGTTTAACTAGTTGCCATGCAGTCATGTTGTGTGTGTTTAGATTATTATAATGTGTTTTGTGTGGAGATGTCTTTGAAAATGTCTGGAAACTACAGCTGGTCCAAAATAGGCCAATGAGATTGTTAACAGGGATTGTGAATAATATGATAATATTGTGCCAGTGCTTTGCATTCTGAACTGTGCAAGTTGGTTTGAACTTAAATGGCCTGAGACTAGGTTACCAGGACAATTAACTCCTTCTGTATATAATTGGCTTGAGTTTAGGTTCTCTCTTGGAGAACCTGCCACATGAGGTGAATGGCTACTTTTAGTGGTGGCACCCATTATGGAATGACATCCCTAGACAAGCTCACTTAGCATTTTTGTTATGGTCTTCTTAGTGCCAGATGGGAACCATCCCCCCCATGTGTTTCAGTCTTCTAATTCTTTTTTTAATGTTAGGATATAAATCCTATGTGTGTTTGGACAGAAAAAGTCCTACAATTCCCAGTATGCCTGGGCCCAATGTTGGCTATCTAAGTGCAGTTCTTTGAGAGGGAGGAAAGGAGGCTGAAGTGCTGCCAGAAGGCATTATATCTTAGCAGCACTGATCCCATCTCTGCCACCCAAAGGTCCCCTAAACTCCTGCCTCCTGCTTGCCTCGCAGCCTAGGAGAAGCAGCCAGCATGGTTGTTTTGGCACTCTCTCTAAGTGGGGGGCGGCACACTGAGTACCAAGTTCAGGCTCTGAGACTGGAGCTGTTTTCCTACATGGGAGCTGGGACTCTGAAAAGTCCTGTTGTCTCTAGATGCTATCTAGGGGCCATAGGACTGAGCTGCCAAGCTTGTTTAAGGTTCCTTACACTGTTGGTGGCTTTTACTTTGGTATTTAATATAGTTTTATTATATTTTAACTTTTAACAGCTTTTTAATATTACACTAATGTATTTAGGGTTTTAGATCTTGTTTTGTGAACCACCTGGACAGCGTCAGCTATTGGATAGTATAAAATGTAATAAATAAATCTATCCCTTTATCAGGCTTTATCTTATTACCTTCTCCTTCAGTTTCTCTCTTTACTGTCACCATGTGCATTTGCAGTGTTATCCTGCAAGCTGAGCCATATCTGATTTTACTCTTAGCACCTGGCATGACACTCATATAATACTAATGGTGGTGGTGCAGTCAATACAATGGAAACCTGGCAAGCCCTCTTTTTATCTAAGGGAGAACCAGAGCACATTAAGCAGAAGGCAGATACGTCTAAGCATCTTGCTGGGAGGTCTTCAGCTTCGCCAGCAGAGAACCCTCTTCTCCTCTTCCAAGTCAGGACAAGGGTTAAATTTCTGTATTTGTTTGCCTTACAGCAGTTACAACAATTATATATTTAAAGCAAAGTAGAATTTGATTTCTTGGATATTGTTTGTAAGTAAAAATTTGTCTGTTTTGTTAAACTATGTACTAGACCACCCAATAATTTCCACAGACAGGCAGCTGAGCATGTCCAGATGGTTTTGTTCTTGTGATTCAGACAAACAAGGGTTACAAATCAGCTAAGGACAGTTATTACAAAAGGAGGGAGAAAATGTCCTTGATATTTTTTAGGCTTGACTGAGCCACAGATTGCATTCAAATGCAGCAGACTCCTAAGCAGAGTATTCAGTTAATGTCTCTGAGAAACATGAACATATCATGTATTAATGGAATGTCTACATATTTATTTCTATACAGACGACTTTTCAGAAGAGGAGGAGGTTCAGTCCTTTGGTTACAAGAGGTTTGGTAAGTTATACTGAGTCTTCATGTATTCAATATTGTTTATTGTGAGAAGAAAACATATTCAGAAAACAGTGCAAAACTGTGTATGTATATGACCAAAATGTGATACAGAGATGAAAAAGAAAATATTTGAGGAGCAAAAGGGTTTCTCTATGACTGACACAGATGTCATCAGTTCAGTGGTGATTTTAAGAGACTTGTTACAGGAATCTGTTCTAATCATTGTCTTCTTTACATAAATACTTTAGCTGCCAATCCTTTCCATTCAGGAGGAGTAATTCACTAATGGAAATTGCTATGTTATATTTACAGTTAACTCACTTCTTGACAGCAGGAAAAGAACCCATGAAACATAAAGTGTAAAGTGTTACTTCCTGTTATTGAAGTAACCATTACTGTTTGAGTGTAACAACAGCCATCCCACCTCTTTGCATCTCCTTGTGGACTAGCACCCATCATTATGGGGAGTATTCATTTATTTAAAGTATTTTATTTGGGTGAAAAAGGTTCCAGGGTTTTGCTTTGCTTTGTTTTTTTAACACAAGAATTAGCTTGCATTTATCATTCCCTACTCACACATTCTTTAGATAATATGTGAGTAGGGAGGTCCGCCTGGCACCATCGTTATTTCTTTTTCGGCGCCAGGCCAAGACCTTTTTATTTAAACAGTATTTTAATAATCTTTAATATTTATAGTTTTAATTATGCAGCCAGTGTGTTTCCAAGTTTTAATTGTAATTGTAATTTTATTTGTTTTATTTATTTGTATTGAGAGCCGTCCCAAGGCTGTGTAGCAATGGGGACGGCATAGAAAAACTTTAAGTAAGTAAATAAATAAATAATGACATCTTGATCTTCCAATTTTGCTTATGTGCTTTAAGTACCACTTTGAATGAGGTTTCTGTTTTGTTAGCATAGCGAAAATGTGGCATTTAATTATGAAAGTAAAAGCATGAGATCTTTTTCTGTATTAGCACTGTTCTGCTGTATCACAGTGCCACCTAGAGGTTATATAGAGGAAAAATCAGAAAAGAAACGTTCCCTGTGTAGTGTTTAGATCTGCCCAACGAGCTTTGGCTATTGGGTGGTATTGAGAACTAACAAATGTGAAAAACTCCCAAAGCATCTTGCATAGATCAGTAAAAGCAAGGCAGGCCCTGCCTACAGGTTCACATTCGAAAAGAAATGATATCAAAAAAAAGGTGTCTGGGAGGTGAGGAAATAACAAATCAAGGGATCAGTTTGTAAAGTTACATAGTAGTTCTTATAATGACAGATGAAATGGAAACTGCTGATGGAGAGAAAGAGCCTAATAGAGCTGGTCTTTCAACAGAGCTGATGGAATGGCCCCACTTCCTGTTTCCTTCTGTTGTGGAATACCTTCCTTCCCCAACCTGAACATTTGTGAGCGATTGGTACTCTTATGCATTACCCTAAAGGCATTCCAGAGAGGATGCTTTTCTCATTGCTTCAAGTCTGCACTCTTGACATATGGTGATAATTTTTATAGCAGATAATATGGAACACAAAGTCTCACTTTTGGCTGAACTGGTCTTGCTGTGGAATTGCTGGATTGCAGCACTGTGGGAACTTCCAGAGCAAAGTGTGGTTTTAGTACTCTTAGGGTTCACACAAAAATCAGCCCACTGCAAGACTATTTTTTAAAAAATACAAAACAAGAGTGGGGCCATTTGCGTTTTCAGCATGGTTACTGCATTCAGGTCTAGTATAAAAAGTTTCAAAAGCACAGATGCAATGTGAATTGTGTCAGAGAATGATTGCCTTTTGCAGTGTGACCAATGTTTGCTAATTAGCTGATGAGCATAAAAAGCATCACATCAATTCTGTGATGTGTATTATTTAGAACAAACTTGCCACATTAACTCTCTGGTCTGACAAATGTAAAAACATTTAACATTACCCTGGAACAAAGATCTGTAACACCGTGAGGCACGGGGTTAATACAGTATGATAATATGTTAAGTAATCCTTGCATTAAGGGATCATTATCACTAACTGATATTTGTATTTGACTTTTGTGGATTCTTTCATGTTTGTTGTACATAGCTATTTGTCACCCAGTCATACACTTCAAAATAAGCATGATGGGGTATTCTATGCACTAGTTTAATGTGCATAGGATTACAGCAATCCAGTACAATTTTGTGTATTTTGATTCATAAGTAATGCTTAATAGCACTTACTCCTTTTGCAGCTTTACAACTCAATCCTATAGTCTTCTACTCAAAGAAAATTTTACTCAGTTGAAAGGGGGAACTACTTGCAGGTGAGCAATATAGTCAGATTTAGACTACTACAGGATCTACTAATCTGTCTGCCAGATTAACAACATCAGCTTCTCATGATTCTGTGGTTTCCGAAGTTTCCCAGATGCCTTCCCTTGATGCTTAGCCGACTGTGCATAAAGGAATAAGAGCCCAGGCACATCTGGACCCATGAGAAAAGTATAACTCTATTATTTTTATTATTAGATTGCATTTCTATCCTACCCATTTTCCTCTACAAGGGAACCCAAGGTGGCTTATGTAGTACTCCACTCCGGTTTTATCCCCACAACAAACCTGTGAGGTAGGTTAGGCTGAAAATGAGTGACTGACCCAAAGTCACCCAGTGAACTTTATGGCTGAGTGAGGATGAAGACCTCACTCTCTCAAGTCCAATAGCCTGACCACCACACAAGGCCAGTCTGAATCCAGACAACATGGCTTATTAGAGGGGGAAATCAAAGGACATTCTTGGCAAAAGATATCGCAAGTACTTAGAACAGGGAATTGTTAGGAACATAGGAAGTTGTCTTATAGTGAATTGGTTCATCTAGCCCCTACATGGGGGATGCATTATGTGTTTGGCCCTGATGGCAACACACACACCTCCCCCGCCACCTGTTAAAATCTGGCAAATGCTGGATTGCTATTTCTCTGTTGCCAATAGTGACAGGTAAAGCATGATCTCACAGACAGGGTTACCGGGGCTTGGAAGGTAAGAGCAGGATATCCCTTGTCAACCCTTTTCTCTGGTCAGTGATTGGAAGCAAAAGCAGGCTTTCCCTTGACAGTGCTGGCTTGGGAAATCCTACTCTTACTGGAGGTAAAAGGGTCTTCCTTGTCAGTGCTAGCATTCTTAATGACACATCAGTCCTCTGGAGTTCAGCTGATCAGCTGGGCTGTGGGGGAACATTGATGGAGTCCCCACAGCTTGGTGAGCCACACCAAGAGTGGCCAAAGGCCACAAGTGGCTTGCATGCCATGGGTTCTGCATCTTCCATCCTGACTGGAAACAGGTCTGGAAACAGACAGTATTCTTTCTTAGCCTACCTGGAGATACCAGGGAATGAACCTGGGGCCATCTCCATGCCAAGTACATCTTGCACCATTAACCAATGGTCTCTCTGTATATTGGTTTTGCCATCATCAGTGGAGCTTACAGCATGATGAGGTTAGTGGCACTGGGGTGAGCAGGGAGAGGAAAAAGAAAAGGCCCTGTTTTGCTTTTTGTACTTCAGCAGTTTCTGTTGGCATTTCACAGATTTTCTAGACACTTCTGCTAACTCTGGAATACTATGTTTCTTGGAGTTTGAACACAATCTTCTGTTTGGAAGAAAGCCCTCCCAAAACAGTCTAAACAGTGAATTCTCCCTCCCTCTATGAGCAGGAAAACCCACATCCTCTGTCTGTGGGATCCATATCTTACTGAGCTCATCTGAAACACCAGATTATGCTACCATTCTTCAAAACAGGCAAAACCATAGTCTTTCTATGTTAAGCCAAAAGAGTGTCAAATTACTAGTGTAGACTCTGGCACTCTGAAAGTGCTTGGTGGAAAATGTGCTTGGAGTGTGTGTGTGTGTGTGTTAATAATGAAGAGGAAAAACACAAAAGTAAAGAGCCAGTGTGATGTGGTTGTTAGAGTGTTAGACTGGGTTCCTGAGAGATCCATATTCTAGTACCAACTCAGCCATAAAGATAACCGGGTGACTTTGGGCCAGTTGCAAATTCTCAGCCTAACTACCTCAAAGTGCTGTTGGGAGGATAAACAGAGTGGAGGAAAACTAAATAAGCCTTGAATTATCACAAGAGTAGAAAAGGTGGGCTATGAATACAATGCAATAATAATTTAATATTGAAGAGATATTCTGTGCTTCTGTGTAGAAATTAGCTTAGAAAAATAGGTGATTGATTAGGCATGATGATGCCATGAGTGACTAATAGAAAAGAATAGGATGGGAATTTTTTTCATAGATTCCAAATACAAAATCCTAAAGCTATGTTGTATGTTTAAGACAAATTATTTTATGAATCAATAGGGCAGCCTTGTCCTATCTTGTGTCTCTCAGATGTTCTAGATTAAAATACCATTAGCCCCACCTATCATGACAAGTGGATAAGGAATGATGGGAACTGTTGTCCAACACATCTGGAGGCCCTCCAGTTGGAGAAGGCTAATACAGAAGCTTGATGTATCAGTAGAGACTAACCATGATTACAAAAAAAACATCCTCCATTTTCCAGTGCCACATAACCTATAGTTAGAAGATACAGAATATCAATAATGAGAAAAATTATTTTTCTGTCATGGCCTATTGAAAGTTCTCTGTGACATCTGGTTGGACTCTTTCAGCAAACAGAAGAATGCTGAACTTGTTGGATCACTGATCTGACCCAATACTTAGCTGTTGATACTAAGAATATTTTATTCCAGGGATACTACTCCATGCAAGGAAATTGCCAAGACTGAACCATTACCTGACCCAGAATTTCATTAACCCACTCTACTGTGTTGACAGGGTACATGACAAAGCATGCTTTCTTATCACTCTTAGCCATCAGTCATGGACTAGCTCCTTTGAAGTCTTCTGTTGCAGATAATGAACTAGAGATTGGTGTCTATTGTTTATCTCTAGGGCACTGCCACTAGCAGTTTTGAAACCAGGAATTTCCCATTGAAACCCACTCTATGAAGCAATTGTGGAAATCAGTTTGTCT